GCACTTCTCGAGTAGAGAGCGCACTTCTATCTAAAGTCGGTCCTGGACTCATCACATCAACACCGCGGGCACCGTCCCGTTCACTCACCGACTCCCTCGCTCGCTCACTCACTCCCCTAACTCCGCCCAGCCAGTCGGCGGCCTTGACCGTGATTGCTGGACGGACGGGCGGACCACATGCCGAGGGGGCGAGGGGGGAGACAAAGGAGTGAGAGAAAGGGGAGGGAAGAATGCCGGAAGGGCTCGCCCACATCCGCACCCTCCTCGCTCCTCCGCTGCCCCGGGCCTGGGGCCGTCTGGCGAAAGGCGCGATGAGCTCTTTGATGTAGAAATGCAAATGCAGATACATACTTCTAGTGTGCCCTAGACAAAAGCGGCGGACCTCTCGTCTTTCTCGCACGCGTGGTACTGGCGGGATGTCAACCGTCTAGCTTTGTTCTGTTCATTAATCCATCTCATTCTGTTTCAGAATTGATACTGGTTTCGTGACAACTCCATTAGAGAGAAAGAGAGAGAGAGAGAATGTTGCGCTTCAGATGGTCGAGTTTCCTCTGCTGAAAAATATTATCTAAATAATATTGGTATCAGAGAAAATCAGGGTAACTCTAGGCGGCAGAAGGATATCGTTATAGCTATTAATTGTTTAGTAAGTAAATTCGAGCAGTATTATATTTAGGTTAACGAGTGAAATTTGGCCATGTAATTTGATCATGGCAAGAAAATTTGAAGTCCTGCAAATGACTTACATTTTACATTGTGAATTTTACTTTTAAAAGGACTGCATTTGGAATTGGTTAAATGCGCAAAATACATAAATGTCTATCTAGTCCAGCGTAAAATTTTGAGATGACATAAAAGAAAATAAGGTAGCGTTGTCAAGAAAAAGTTAACTTATACCCTCGTATACAGGTGTTCTGGTTTTGTAATCAAAGCATTGTTTTAATACAAAATTTGTAATTTTATTGTAAATATCAACAAATAAATGTATGAAATTACTAAACAACTTTTACATTGACTTCCCAAAACTCATTTCTTCAGAGAAACATCACCAAAAATGTTTCAGGATCATAAGAAAAAAACATGAGATTTTAAAAACAATTTACACAAACACACAGTTTTCTAAAAACCACTGAATCCTTGTAAAATTGAATTTAAAATAATTCACACAAATGATCAATTCATTGAACATGAATCTTGAGCTTCACAAAAAAATGAAACAAAAACCACCATTGGAATTTTGAAATGATCATTTGTATTTTCAACTCTAGAATGAACCTTTCAGAGCACACAAGTAAATTGGCAACATATCCTTCGTAATTGATATCATTTGAGTGCTACCGATATTGTTACTAAGGTACAGTCTTTGAAAAAAAAAATGAATGAAGGCCACAGAAAATTAACAGACAGAAACACAATAATAAATAACTCAAGGATAAAAGATGTTTTAAGCAACAGATGCCAGCCAAACTTTCACAGGCTCAATACCACTGGGGTCATCTGAGAGACCACTTGTCTCAGCAAAGTCAATCTGAGCAGTGAGTTGTGAGAAAGTAAAATCCTTACCCTCTTTTCCAAGGTATGAATGGGCAACATTCTTATCAGCAATGCTATCCAACTGTTTGTCCTTGGTGTCACGGAGGAGATTCCTTTAAAGAGTAGGCAAAAAATTGAATAACTTGGAATGTTAAAAAAATTGAGCTCTGTTGCTCTGAAAAGATTAATTTCTAAGTATAGTACTTACAGCTCCCTCTCCAGGTTTGTTTTAAGAAGAGAACTGCCCTTGGCCATAGGTTTGTCCTGTTTATTGGCAAGAATTAGTATGGCTGGGTTACTACGGGAAATAACACTGTCTAGCAGGATGTTATATAAAAACCTAAAAGAAGGGAAAGGGATAGTTATTTAACGACTTTCAAAACAGAATTGTTAATAGAAAATTTACTCACTACACTTACTCAGCAACATCTCGTAAATCTTTTTGAAAAGTCATGGCATCAACAACAAAGATCAAAGCACGTGCCGAACTCTTGTACTGATCCAAAAACTTCATACGTAATCTTTCATGACCAGGAATATCAATTATTTTGAGAAGACCCTGATAAATGTGTAAATAAAAAAATACTGTTACATTTCAGTACAGTGAATACAAGGGGAAGGTAGGTCCTTGTAGTAAATACCTTGTTTGTCTGATAGTCACCAACATTCTCTTTGATTGAAGTATGAGTATCAGCTTTGCGCCCATATAACAACTTTGACCAAATCAAAGTTTTTCCTGCATCACATAAGCCTAACAGCAATATGCTTCGACGAGCGGTACGCTGACGAAGGAAGAGCTTCAGAATAACTGTAAGGAAACAAAGGCATGTTTATTTTAACAAATTCATACACTTAACCATATGGAGAACATAACCCTGAAACTCACCATAAGTTAATACAACGGCAAAAATGGCAACAAGAAAGCCGATAAACTGAGGATCATTAAAGTCAAATTTGAAACCCTTTATAGTATCCTTTATACTAAAGCCTCGTCTTCCCAATTTCGCCGAAGGCTTTGCAGTTGCATCCATATTTGTTGGTTGATAAATCGCCGTGCAATATTTGAAATCACAACAAAACAACACAACGACAACAACAACAACACCCGCTTGCAGATGACGCGGACTCTGGTTTGGTCTATATTCGGATTTCGATTCGGAGGCACCAGGAGGCACCTACCTTGAGGCTACCATGTTAAAAGATCAAGTGGGCCGTGGTTTTGTTTTACGAAGTCAATTTGATACACCCTCAAACTAAACGCTTCTGCAGAAGCAAAGCGCTGTGCGCTGTGTTGTTGCTGCGTGAAAAAGTTCGTTTAATTTCTGAGTTATTTATTTTTATTGTTAGCTTGTAGTTGCCAGTACTATACATCTTGTCAAAAAATCGTTAATTACATCAAAATCTTTTCTTAAAGATGATACCTGCTAACCGCATCATGCAATTGAGCGAACTTTGCTTGTTTTATTTGTGTCAATAACGTTCTTTGCTCTTTATTATGTCACCTTTATCAAATTTGTTGGTTTTGTTTGATCTCGTATTTTGCTTAGCTGTTGAAAAATACATTTCCAAGAATTAGTCCCCTAGAAATAGTGTTCACCCTCTTGGGGACATCAATATCACTTTTCTGTGAAGGATACCTAATACTTTTTTGTCTGCTTCATTATTTCAATACTCACCACAATTCCCCTTTTTATTTAATCAAACTTGTTACCCCCTAACGCTTTTGTTCTTTCACTGTCTTGGTCCAGTTCTCATGTTACTAGTTTGATAGTAGTCCTATTGTCTTACTATTTTATTTTAATCTGTTCCTCTTCTGATTTTCATAGGTGCTGCAATGTCGTAAATGTATATCTTCTTTGTACAGTAATGGTCATGTCTTCAGACATCCTGAAGTTCCAAAATTTGCGCATGCAGGTGAGTTTCTTTAATTTGCAGGGTTTATAAGGTTGTGGATATTGTTTTTAAGAAATGGTTACTCTGTACACAATTCTTTTTCATTTCATTCAGGCTATAGAAAACGACTCCCTGAGGGAGGATGATTGAAAGCGTATCACGACGTGCTTTCAGTGGTTCCAGTGGAACATACAACGTGAGAGCCTCCGAGCTGGCGCGTGACAGAAGACTAAAGACCCTCACAGCCACTGTGGTATTTCTCGATGACTCTCAGCACTGCTTTCAGTTGGAGGTTAGTAATTTGACTATTATGATTATTCTACTTGCAAAATATCCTCTGAGATTTTGATTTTGATTTATTTTTATCTACCTGCAACTATCAGAAGCGTGCCAAAGGCCAGGTTTTGCTGGACCTGGTGTTCCAGCATCTGGAACTCATCGAGAAAGATTACTTTGGGCTACAATATTCAGATAATGGAGTTCTACCAACACCGCCAAATCCTGACGTGATGGTAACTCAATTGATTTTGATATCTTTTAAATACATCTAGCTCACCACAATGTGGCTAAAGACACCACACATTCTTTTATCTATCTATTTATTTTTGTGAAAATAATTTCATTTACCTCTTGCAGAGATGGCTAGATCCTGCTAAACCCGTTAAAAAACAGATTAAAGGTAAAATATTCTAAACATTTTGTCATTTGTGTGTAGTGCTCTCATTTTCCTTTCTAAACGACATTCTCTAATATCCAAATTCAATTTCTCTCTAGGAGGTAGCCTGTACTTCAGAGTAAAATTTTATGTCTCCGATCCAAGCAAACTTCAAGAAGAGTACACTCGTTACCACTTGTACCTTCAAGTTCGTCAAGATATTTTGCAAGGAAGGCTTCAAGTTTCTCCAAGCACAGCTTGCCTTCTTGCCAGTTATACTGCACAATGTGAGTTAGGATAAAATAAGGTGTATTTCTCCCTAATTGCTGCTATCTGTATCTAAGTTAATTTTTGTCTGCAGCGGAGTTAGGAGACTATCATCCGGAAGAACATGGACCAGGCTATCTCTCACATCTTCAACTCATGCCAGGACAAACGGAAGAAATGGAAAGGAAAGTGGCAGAACTCCACAAGTTGCACAAGTAGGTAGCCAAATCCCTACTGACTGCTATTCTTTCCATCAATTTGTTTTGTAAATATATGGTTTTTCTTTTTATTTATTAGGGGTCAGACTCCTGCAGATTCAGAGTTTAATTTTCTAGATCATGCGAAACGACTTGAAATGTATGGAGTAGATTTACATCGAGCAAGAGTGAGTGCTATCTGCTCTTTTGTTTTAGCAATGCTTCTCAGTATTTTCAATTGACTTTGAACATATTAATTTTGCCTATATTACCATGCCCTAAAGATGTATTCGTTCATATTTGCAGCAGGATTCTTCAGGCAAAGAGATACAACTCGGTGTAACATCTATTGGACTTGTAGTCTTCCAAAATAATGTTAGAATTAACACATTCTCTTGGTCCAAAATTGTAAAACTGTCATTCAAGAGGAAGCAGTTCTTTGTGCAGCTGCGAAGAGAGCCGGTATGATAGAATTCTTGTTCAAGAAAAACTCTTGAGTGTTGTTGTATGTTATATGTGTTCTGATAACTTCTATTATTTCATTTTCAGTCTGAAAACTATGATACTCTCCTTGGTTTCAATATGCTCACATATAGATCATCTAAAAATCTTTGGAAGTCATGTGTTGAACATCATACATTTTTCCGTCTCCATTCACCTCATGTGAGACCAAGGAGATTTCCTCTCAGCCTGGGTTCAAAATTTACCTACTCTGGTCGCACAGAGTTCCAAACAGTGGAAGATGGCAGGCAACGTGCCCGCACGGATCGCACTTTTGTACGGTAAGGTCATAATCACTTCACATACCTGGGTTGTTTGTAGATTATTGTTTAGTTGAAATATTTGCCTATCTATTTTTGCAGCACTCCAAGTAAAAGACCTTTCAGGACTACTGTTTCTGCTGCTGCTGTTGAGGATAAAACTGTTTTATCAGTGGCACCTACTCGTACACCAAGACCCCATGACAATAAAGTGACTTCTCTTGGGGCTCGGGAGCCTCGCAAGGCGTGGGGTGAAGCTTCTCATCCATCAGACGAGTATGTGTGGAATGTTTCTACAATCTAACTGTTTCTTTACTCACCCTTTCTCTTTAAGGAAGAGCACCTAATGAATTGTTTGCTTATTTTTCACAGTGAGGGTGGATTTTTGGATGTGAGAGGTGAGGAGAGGATTGGTAGGCCATTTACACCTTCACTCCCTTCAAGCCGGGCTATGACTTATGTTGATGAAGAACCAGTTGAACCAGAACTGGCTGTGAACGGCAGCACAACAACCAGTACTTTTGAAATGCCAAGTCTTACAGAACTACAACCACCTCAGGTAAATTAACTAACAATATTGACCAGCATGTTATTAATTACATTCATATTACAAGATTTTTACTCAACTTAAATTTGGGTATTGGTTCAAAATTAATTATACTAGTTGTACACTTTTCTAGCCACCTCCTGAAGAAGGTTTAGTAATGATACGGATCAGCCCAGATGAACAGGGAAGGTTTGGATTTAATGTTAAAGGTGGAGCTGATCTGAGTATGCCTATACTTGTCTCAAGAGTTGCTCCTAACACACCAGCCGATCGATCCTACCCTAAATTAAATGAAGGTGATCAAGTAAGTTATTTTTCCAACAATCGAACCAATGATTGCAACTCCTGAATTAATTTGAGTTCATAGTATTTTTATTGCTTATCTTAATTTTTGTAGGTCCTACTAATAAATGGGCGGGAAGTGGCTGGTTTGAGCCATGACCAAGTTGTTAACCGTATCAGGGATTCACGGGATGGGCATTGTGGAGAGTTAGTTCTCACTGTTAGACCAAATGGTATGTTACTGTTTTTGCATCTTTCTGAAACTAATTTTAAGTTATCTCTAAATTAAATTATAATTATTGATTTTTTAAAATCAACAGCCATGTATGAGGCTCATGAAGAAGAGGAACCACCTTACCAGTATGTCCCTGACACAATTGGAGGTTCTGGCAGTGGACCTACTGGTCCATTGGCTAGCGGTGATGCACTTGCCCAATCTATGCTGTTGTTGGAGGATGGCTTAGCAAGTGGTGCTCTTTTAGCACAATTTGAACAGCTTTATCGCAAAAATCCGCAACTCACAGCTAATGAAGCTCGGAAACCTGAGAACCAAATGAAAAATAGATACAGAGATATTTCCCCATGTAAGTGGCATACTCTGGAAAAAATACTGTTTGTTATTTTATTTTTTTACGTACTTTTACCTACATAGTTTGCAATTTGTACAATTTCTTTTTAGATGATACAACCCGGGTGATTTTGCGGGCTGGATCCACTGGAGATTACATCAATGCAAACTATGTTGATATGGAAATACCTGGTTCAGGAATCATCAATAAGTATATAGCTTGTCAAGGTATGTACTGTGCTGGAAACAAAGCCACACTGAAATATTCTATCTTTCGTAAAGAAAGGATGTGACTTAAAATTTTTGTACTCCTAGGTCCTTTATCAAATACTGTTCAAGACTTCTGGCAGATGGTTCTTGAAGCTCGAAGCACCTTAGTTGTTATGTTAACCACTGTGATTGAGCGAGGGAGAACCAAGTGTGCTCAATATTGGCCAGAAGTTGGTAGCACCATGGAACTGAATAATGAAATAACAGTCACTTGTAACAGTGAAATAACTGATTCGACTCATAGCTTTGTTTTCCGAGAATTTGTTTTGCGCCAGGCATCGGTAAGAATCCTAAAATAAATTTTGTTTGGTGGTTAAGCTTCATTGATAAATGGATTAGAAATTCATGGATTTGTTTTCTCTAGACTAAGGAAGTACAAAATATATGCCACATGCAGTACTTGGCATGGCCTGACCATGGTGTTCCAGAAGATTGGATCCGTTTCGTTGAATTTACTGAGAAGGTTCGTCATGCAAGACGTGGCATGGTTGATCCAACTATTGTTCATTGTTCTGCTGGTATTGGTAGAACTGGTGTTTTAATTTTAATGGAGACAGCAATGGGACTCATTGAGGCAAATCAGCCTGTCTATCCCCTGGATATAACACGATCAATGCGTGACCAACGGGCTTTAATGATCCAGACGCCAGTAAGTTTGTGTAGTACATTTTCTGAAATTGACCTTCTACCCTTTATTAAGTAGCTACTTTGCTACTATAGTTTTACTCTAATCTTTTAATTTATTTTTACAGGCACAATATCATTTTGTATGCAGTAGTGTGCATAGGGCTTTCAGTGAAGGCAGGGTAAAACCATTGCCAGAATTTAGCAGGTGAGGTTGCCATTGAAGAACTTACAAACTTTGCCAGTGAATTTAATTAACAAGATTAGTGAAAAGATGCAGCTGTGAGGGCTGCTTTTGTTTTCCTATTGTTCTTCATTGGCTGACCAAATGATGCCTGCTGCTATGATAAAAGTGAGTTGTAGTTAATGTTATTGAACTCCAGTCCTTCCACACAATCGTCCTTAGGGCTCACTGTCCTGCTGGTTGCCGTCCACCTTTCAATCTCATATTATGTTCATTTAACAGCTTGGTTAGACATTGACATTAGACTATTTAAGTAAAAAAATACCAGAAGTCTGAATTTCATTTCCTCTCATCATGCTTAACATTGGGAGGGTTCATCAAAAAGTTATTTATGCTGTTATGATTTAAAACTGGCCTAGCGTAAATTCAATGGCTTAATTAAAAGAGGAAGAGTTGTGATATCAAAGGTCTTGCAGTAAACAAAGAATGACATTCTGACATTTTTTTTAGACCTGACAATTATTCTGTAGGTATTTGTATGAATAAATTTTGCGACCTTGATATGCATTTGGTGGGGAACAGTTTTTTTTTTTTCCTTTTTTTTTTTCTCGTATGTGTGTGCAGGAATTTTTTAAGATTCTGCTACTGAGGCTCACATCAGTATTTGAGGGTAGAAACAATCAAACTTCTTCCTCCTTTGTATATTAAAAAGAAGATGTTTCTTTGAACTTTTCTTTATAGTTTAAATTGCTTGTCACAAGTGCATATTCAGTGATATATAGATTAGTTAATAGGCAGTTTAATCAATTCTACATATCCAGGAAACTTTTAGTTTGCTGCTAAATTGAAATCTTCTAAAACAATAATGTGTTAGCCTAAACCAATTTATCTGACGTTAATTTGATTTAAATTGTTTTCTTGCTCATCTATTTGTCTTCCTAACGTTCATAGTGAATTTGTGTTCATTTGCTTTTTTTAAATTTTTGTGTGACATGTATGTGCTTTTTCTGCTATTACGTATTGAGAATGCTTGGTATAGTCTGGTCCTGTGTCCGGTTAAATTACTTCATTTTTTGCGTTAGCATTAACTTTGGCCGAAGTGAGATACTTTTGTGTTTCATGTGCACTAGCATCCCACGAGAGCCCACTTTAATTGTGTCACTTAACACTGCGTTCTCTTTTCTGCCTGAATGACCTAAGAACTCAATTAAAACAGCAAACCAATCAAAATGAAAAAATTCTTAGCAATTTTTTCAGTTGCTTTTTAGAATACTTGTATGATGTCAGTTATGAAACTGATATATAAATGTAGTAATTTGTGGGGGACCCAGTTTGTGTGCAATCATGGTTCTTATTTTATTTGTATATCTGAGCTTTAACCATTCATCTTTTATTCATGCCATTTGAACCTAATTCCTTTCTAATCTGCTCATTTGCTTGCCTATTGTCTCATTGTGCATCTCAGGAAACTTTGGTACTCTAGTGGATTCCTAACTTCACATTGAAGACACAATTTTTGTTTCTTGATATGTATGCATGGCATCTTTTACTGATAGAATGATACCACCTATTGTTTTTAATGATTTCAAAATAGTTTTTTTAACCAATTAATTTATGTTCTACTGGTACTGTAGAAATTTGTGTTTTATGAAATTTTGTGATGATCTTAATGCTGTGAGCAAATTGCAGTGTGCACGGCACTCTTATCAAATCCTCGGATTGGCAGAAGATACTTCTACATTTGCTGAAGTCTGTTGATTCATGTTATGTTAAATTTTTATTCTAGAATTGATCATCTGTCAAAATAGGAGGCTTGTGAATTTTAAGTAGATTCTTGTCTTGGGTTAAAGTATGTGTGTATGCTCAAAGAAGATGAAGTCTGACATGAAAGATAAGTTTCTTAATTGTATTCAAAAACAGTGATTATATTAGGAATTAGCATACTTAATTAAAGCAGCTGTCTAAAATTGTCTAATGAACACCATTTCTTTCACAGTTGTGCTCTAATTCTTTACATATCTCTCATCTAGAGAAATACTGAGGTGGGGCCTTGACAAGAATCATTAACCTTTGTAGGGGAGTGTTTTGATATGGATTTGGTGCACACTGCATGAGCGTAATTCAGTCAGTCAAAGTGTGCACTTGTATGTTTTTTAAATTTATTTTTGTGTAGATAATGAAAATAATGTATAAAGATGTCTGTATGTATTTAGTTGTCCTCTGTTCAACATGATGGAAGTTTCTAATTGTTGTGATTCAGACTTTTTATAGAGTATATGTTAAAATAATATATTTATTTAATTTTGTGTTCTTTTCAAATGCTTTGATTGTTCTGTGTACTGTGTTTTGCTAAAATCAGGAAAACTGTATGTGCTTTCTACAGTGTATTTCTCATCTTCTCATGTAGTAATTTGAATGTAAAGGTACATTACGTCATGTATACAGGGTACCTTAGATGTTAGGCAGTTCCACATTGTGTTCATAGTTTTGTTTCATCTCTCTTGAACTGATTAAGGGTGCCAATGTTCTTTCCATTAGGTCATAAGGCTGTTATTTCATCAAGGTTAGTTTGTTTCCTCATTTCATTCTCAAAGGATACAACAGAACCTAGCCATTGGAAAAAGTTTTGGAAACACAACTTTTCGTTTCATTACAAAGCCTTGTGTGGGACTAAAGTTATTTCAAGTTCCCTTTGTATATTAAATTGGATCATATCTGACTGCAATTTTTTTCTTCATAATAGAGATTATTATTTCATCCACTGAGCATTAATGCACACTTCAGTGCTTGTCTAGTCGAATCATTGTATTGAAACCTTTAAGGAAATGTTAATTGGAGCAATTATTTAGCTATGTATTGTAATTTTAGAGGACATAATTACCAAATCCTCAAAATCACCAATGATACATGTAAAAGCGGTGCAGACTGATTTATTTACCTAGTAATCATTCAGTTGCTGCAAAATGTAGATGTACTTATAAATCTCAAACTTGATTTGTGAAGTCTTACACAGCTAAAATGTCTCTCATAATTGCAGTGGCAGTGTGATTATTTTTTATGTAGAATAGAGATTAATTTTGAAATTGAGGTTTGTGATTGCTTCTTTTCCTCACCAAGTCCTTGTAGGTAGTTCTGGCGGCATAATAATTTGTGGTGTATTTTTCTGTAATAATAATTCATTGTAACACATTTAACGAAGGATGGTTGTGTAAGACAGAACCTGTGACAATATTGTTGAATTGATAGTGAATATACTGGTTTCATTCAAGAGATGGGGTGTATCTGATTTCCCTCTGCCCAGTCCATCAATTAATATTACAATCAATTGATTAAGAGTTTATTTATGAGTAAAAAACCTTGTATACATGTTCCAGGCCATTTCTAGGTCAGTGGTTTGCGATACTTGGCCTGGACCCATACTCTGTACATGGTTAATTGCTTTCCGCGATTGACCTGTAATCTTCTATCAACCAAATTTTGTTCTTCAACGAATCCTGCTCCCTTGAACAATGTTCTCAACTCATCTTTGTGGAACAGAAAAAGCATAAAATTCAATTTTTTCACAAATTTTAAAATAACTCAAAGAAACTCTATAGTAACATCATACCTTGAGTAAAAAAGTAGACTCTGGTTCCATCTCCTCTTGAGTAAAAGTTATCTCCAAGGCAACGACCCTTTTTAAAACGCAGCTGAGCCATGTCGTAGCGGCCATAATCACGGAAAACTACCAAACCACCTGGTTTCAGGTACTCATATACTTTGTTGACTACTTGGTCCATCCTATATATAAATGAGTAGGCAATAAGAAAACACATAATAATATTAAGAAAGTACATTTACCAAAGGCATCTTATACTTTTCTGGACTAATTGCTGACAAGACAAAAATGATAGCAATGATGTCTAAAGTCCCCTTTTCAAAAGGAGCATTCCATTCATCAGCAGTTACATCACAAACAAAAGCACAACACCTGAAAATTTAAGGTAGATGTAAAAATGTTGACAGATATTGAGGCAATAAGAATCATACTGATGATCAAGCCAACCTTGATGTATCATATTCAGGGGTTTCTTTCATAATGTCAATTGCAGTGGAAGAGAAATCGCAGCAATACACAAATAAATTTTTATCTTGACTGTATTGCAAAATTGGAAAGACAGTGTTTCCAACACCACACCCTATTTCCAGAATACACCTCTTATAGTCAGGTTTCAGTTCCGACTCAATTTCGTCTGGTTTGTGAGGCGCTAGTTCAGGAAATTCAGTGAAAAGCCAGTGCCTATCCTTAAAAAATCTACAAAAAACAATAAAAATAGTCACACAATCTTAATTATATAAATCAAATTCCAACGATTTATAAATACCATACCGGTTTTGGTGGTTGCTGTAGAAAGAATCCCAATATTTATTTGCATCTTGTTCAAATTTTTGTCGATCCTCTTCAGATGCTATTTTTTCAGAGTTTTCAGCAACCTTTTTTTGAGCTTGAACTTGCTGCTCTTCATCCCACTGGACATTATCCCTAGTTTGAAAATAAATAAAGGTATATTTTGAAAAATAAACTTTCTAACAAACCAAGCTAATCTCAACCAAATAAGCAATTACTAACCATGCATTGTGCTTGAATACTTCAGAGGAATCGGTTAAAAACCTCGTACCAAATTGTGGTCTTTTCTCGTCTTTTTCAGCATTGCAGTCTGCTGAACCACTTGATTTCGATGAAGATTGCTCCTGTTCTGTCATTTTTGCAAATTATAACCTAAATAAAAACGAGGTAAGGAAGTGGAGGTGTAGGAGTTACTCCGCCTCGGTCGATACTCCGTGTCGACAGATTCCTTACGCGCAATGAGATGAGGGCGCCACTTGCAATGAAAATGTCCAGTGACATTGGTGTGAGACGCGAAGCTTAGGGATTTCACCAGCGAGATAGCGCTGATGGCTTCGGTCAACTTTTAAAGCCCAAGCCTCCCAAGAGCAATTGGCGATATCGGTGTAAATATTGACCTTATCCTGGGTGTTTTGTGTTGTATTCGTTGAAATTTCACCGATCCCTTGACTTTGTCGGAACTGTGTTGTGGTGGAAGTTGTGCATTGCCGTGATTCAAGTCGCAGAGGGATAATTTTGTGGTTAGAGTAAGTATGATGTCAGTAATGTACTTGCTTGACCAAAAGGGATGGGCCCAGTGAAGTAGCTGTCATAGTTGGTGGCTTAGGTCGTAAAGCAATTACGTTTCGCTCCACCGTGCTTGTGAAAATATCAGGAATATCAGATGCGGTACTGCGTCTTAATTAGCAAGTGTTTTGTACATGATTTAAAGGTAGAATCTGCTGTCGGATGTACGGTTTCTGTGAACTTCTGCCGTCTGCTTCGGAAGCCTATTTAGTTTATTGTGCGGACCTGTTTTTTATCTCATTCTTTCAAACTCAGTGAAGTTTTGTGTGATTGTAAAATCGTTCGTGGCTACCTCCTCCCTCTTGTGCGTCATTTCATCTCGGTTTCAGACCACAACCAAGCCAATTACCGGACACCCGTTGCCAAAATTATAGATGTGAGATAATGTTAACCTCCAAGAAGTGTTAGAACGTCTGGACCATTATTGTCCGTTGTTCATTTAAAAGATACGCCGTTAGTTGTAGGTTTTCAACGTTTCTGTTTTCTTTTCAGATGTTTCTGGCGAGTGCTGAAAATGATGTTCTTTAACCTTCAAACATCGGCTTCTGCCTTCGCCGGTCTTTAGATTTGTAAGTATCAAAATTACTCCTCTTCATACATTGTTTGTATACTGTGTCGTAACTGAGCCAATTTTCTACCATTTGTGTTTTGGGCCTTTGAGTATTGGTTCTCTTCAATGAAGTAACTGGTGAGGCATATAGGAAACACCTTTGGTTCTTAAGTAAGGTCTTAACACCCTTGCTTTACAGGCATAATGATTATCATCTTATCTTAGGTTTCCTCTTTTTACTGCTAGAGGTCTTTCCATCATTGTCTCTTTCAATCGACGTGACCTCTGCTGTGAATGGAATGGGTGGGGCTGGTGGTTTTTTGTGTTAAGGGTAGCAATTTACGGTCGTTTAGATTCTGGCACTTTACATTGTTCGTTTTGATCACGCACGTAACGCACCCCCTGCTTGCCAGACAGAACGGCGAGACTTGCTTCATGTAGTACGGACTCAATACGCGATACACGCCGTTTCCCATCTCTGCACAAACGTTGTCAAAATAGCGGAATGAGTCGTCCGTTAAGCCCTTAAGTTTTAAGTAGATTTTGCGACATTGTGGGCCGGACTCTAGAAGAAAGTTGCGTGCAATCCGCCACCTCTCCAAAACCATCGGTGAGGGTGGCTCGTTTTGTTTTTGTGTGATTTCTGAGGTTAGACACTAGGGCCCGGTCCAGACCCGCCGCCCCGCCACGCCACGCCCCGCCACGCCCCGCGGTCTCCACGCCTGGGGTCCCTATGCAGGAAATCTCTCATTAGGGAATATGGTGTGGCCGTGCTTGTCGCGACCGCGGCCCTTCGCCCCGCTGCGCTGGCACGCCGCTAGCTAGGGTGCTGTTTGTGTGTGTGGGGGG